GGCGCGTAGCCGAGACCTCCGGGAACTCCAAACGAACACAAACATGGATAATCACCAAGTGTTCCAATGGTGACGTCCATGTCTTGAGGACGGTCAAAAATGGGGTGTCTACAGCACCTCACAGGCAACGAATCGCTGTACACTATTTCCGAGTGCATGCATAAACTGAGCAGTATTCCATCCCTGATTGGTACGCCGTTATTCCACTTCGCCTCCACACTTATGGATAACGCCGATTATCGGGAGGTCATGATGTGCCAGCCTGATGACGACCACATCATTGGATGGCTTACATAGAGCAATGCAACCTAGACATACAAGCTAAGGATGCAACATGGCATGGCAAGACACTTATGCAAGCATACAAGCAAACATGAGGCAATACCAACCAATGAAAAGATGGTCTAAAACATGATTTGGGCAGCTCTAAATAGGCCCAAAACAGTAGCCAAAGTGACCAAAACAAAGGACCAAAATACACATACACGCATGCACATGTTAAGGCCCAAATGCTTAAGCATCAAAGGGCTATTTCTAAGCACATTTGAATGAGGCAATCATGGGCAAATAGCATGCAAGGTAAGCATTGTAAATCATGTTAGGATGATGTCAAACCAAGCAACAAGATAGGCTAAACATTAGCATGCAAATGGTCCAAGTACTTGAAGCAAGTCAAGGGGGGTTGAACCATGGCTAAGCCAACCAAGCCTCACAAGGCTAAGAGGACTTAAAATAGGTTCAAGGCAGACCTAGACCACGCAAAGGGGACTCCCTAGATGGCATCTAAGTGGCTCAAAATCAAAGGCATGTATAATGGCCAAAACATGGAACATGCTACACATGCTTTCAAAGCTTCAAAGAGGTATCTAAAGTAAGCATGCAAGCATGCTATAAGGTCTGAAATTATGCTATAAATGATGCCAAATCATTAGAATAAAGCAAGTAATGCATGCTATATACTCACACACTTGAGGCCAACAAGCCAAAATGCAAAGGGGGTATATAATGCATGCCATGGCCGACCCAAACAACCATGGACAGACCTAAAACATGGCAAAATATGCACAAAACCTTCACAAGACTAAGCCTAAAACATGCTAGAACTAAGGCTAACAACCTAAGGCATATTAAGGCAATAACAAGGCATTACATGGTAGGTATGCTAAGCATGCATGGTGTACCAAAACCAACAAAAAACAGAGGTATAATATGACATATTAAGCACAAAAAACAGCCAAGGCATGGTCAACATGAAGCTTAGCTAAGTGCTCCCTCAAGAGGCCAAAAATGGTCCATTTTAAGGACAATAAGGAGAGGGGTTGGCCCTCTCCTTTTGGAGACTTCAAGGCACCATCTCCACCACTGAAATCCCTCAAGATTTCAGTGGTGAAGAGGCCCAAACACCAAAGTCTCGAAACTTGCTCAAAATGGCTCAAAATGGGGCCTTTCAAGGCCTAAGAGGGGTCAAACACCCTCAAACCACAAAACACTCTTAATAAACAATCAAGAGGACTAAAAAACAGAACTTTTTTGTATTATACACCAAGCTCAAAAACGAATTTAAGATAGGTAAAAAAACAATGCAAGATTGGGAAATAAATGGGCTAGTTTCTTACCCTTGAAGACCCCTTCACAAATGATGCTCCAATGGCCCTCCTTGGCTTGAATCCAACACCAAAACACCAAAATCAGCCCCTTAGAACCTCAGGAGCCAAAGGAAGGTGAAACACTAGGTGTTTGTGTGCAATAGTATGGACTAAAACACCTAGAACACAAAGAGAGAAAAAAGAGAGATAGGAGATATGTATGAACCCTAACCCTAAAACCAGAGCTTCTCTCTGTCCTTTCTATCTCTAAAATGTCACAAGTGTCTAACCCTTGCAACAAGAGAGAAGACCTCTCTTTATAGAGGCTTTTTGTCTTGTAAAGCTTACAAGACAAGCTTCTAAAGAGGGAGATCCCTCCATACACGTAGGGGAGCCAAAAGCAAGACAGCTGTCTTAAAATATCTGCAAAAACAGATGCACAGTAGTCGGCCGGCCAAAGATGCCATTTTGACAAAATTGAGTGCCGACCAGCAACAAATAGTGCCGACCGGCAATATACATTGCCGATGGCAGCAAAAACCAGCCGGTGGCCTCTAGCCACTGCCGGTGGTGTGTGGGGATGCCTCACAAGGCATTCCCTGCCCCTCCAAGGCAAAACACAAGTGTTTGGTGCAAAACCAGACACTAAACAGTCGAGTTCGAAGATCCTGAGGCAAGGCGCGCGAGCCGAGACCTCCGGGAACTCCAAACGAACACAAACATGGATAATCACCGAGTGTTCCAAGTGATGACGTCCGAGTCTTGAGGACGGTCAAAAATGGGGTGTCTACAAGGTGGAGATCTTGTGTGGGTTGTATTGAGCAAAGAAATGTATCCTCATAGTGCTTACACCTGGTTAGATGATAGGAAGGTGGGTCCTTGATGTGTTGCACAAAGTCAACGACAATGCTTACCAAATCAAATTGCCGTCTCATTTGGGAATCTGTAACACCTTTAATGTGCGACATCTTGTGCCTTATTTGCCGGATGATTCTTTTGTGAACACCACTTCTATCATTGTAGATTAGTTTCCTTTATGAAATTTGTTTTTATTGTACTTTCTAGTTTAGTTTCACTTCTAGTGCATTAGTTGTGTTTTGTTTGTCTTCACTTAAGGACAAATTCTTTTGAGTAGGAAAGTATGATGTAAGATATCATGTGCATAGCATGTGTTAGTGGAGAGAAATTGTAGTCTATATCTAAAAGAGGCATAACCATTTTGTAACTAAATTTTGAGATAATAAACATTGATTGATTGAGATCTTCTCTCTCTCTCTCTTGTTCTTGATTGGACTCTTTATCAATTATGGGAATAGGCTAGCTTTTTGACTAAAATATGAGATGAAAAAAATCCAGTTTGTTTGGTTTGAATTTTTAGGATTCCCTTTTCAAAAAATTAAATTTTTTTGTTTTTCATATTTCTTTGTTTTCAATAAATTTTTTTAATATTCTAAGCAATTTTTAAAATTTTTACATACACCTAACATAAATACACTTAAAAAGTATAATTTTTGTAAAAAAAATCTTTAGAAAATTCATTAAATACCAAAACTATAAATAATAAAAAAAATGATAATTTAGCATATTTTTTGTATTCTTGTGCATTTATTAATTTTTTTAAATATTTTTTTTACAAATATTTTACTTTTTAGATACATCTAAGTACGGTGTGTCTAAAAAAGTTTTAAAAAAAAAATTGCATTAGATTTTAAAAATATTCACTAAAAATAAAAAATACAAAAAACAAAAAAATCAATTTTCAAAAAATTGAAACCAAATTTGTTTTGGATATTTTGACTTTTTACAAAAAAAAAAAAAAATTTGACTTTTTAAAAAAAAAAAAAAAAAAAAAAAAAAAGGTACAAAAAGTAGATAGGAAAAGGAAAAGAAATTTTTGACATTTTGTATAGATCTTTGGCTTTTTAGCATTTATAGTGACTTTGGATTTTTTGGATATTTTTTAAACTTCCCAAACGTTATCTCAAATACAAAAAAGAAAAAAAAAAATAAGAGGCACCACATAATGTGAGAGGTGATAGTTTTCTCAACACCTAAATTATCGTCTTCATCTCTCTCATAAAGAGATGGGGCACACACCATCCGAGACCCTAGGCTTGTGAGAGGAGATAATTTTAGGTTTGGAAAATGTGATGTCCTAATCATTTTTGTATGATGCTCATAAAAAAATCCATGTGAAACATAATGTGGTAGTAAAGGCATCAACACGGCAGGTAATCTAGGAGAAGCAATTCCACTAACTATTGTTGTTTCTGTTTTTTCCCCAGCCATATCAGAGCCATAATGAACACATTTTACGAGGTACAGGATCCTTTATTTTCAAAATTCTTATGTGTCTATTATTCTAATGTATTCGAAATTGTAAGATCATAGTTTTGAAATTCCCGTCTTATAAAAGTCTCAACAAATCCTATGGTTGGAGTGCAATAGAAACAGGGGAACAGAAAGTTTTGGAACCAAAGATCCTGGTCCTGGGGAAACTATGATATTATGTGAAGACTTATTAGAGAAATCATGCAGTTTGGGGCCTTGAAGACTTGATATTGCTTTCAAAATGGAAGAACTTACAACAGCAGCAGCAGCAGCAGCAGCAAAAATAAGCATATGTTTCATATATATTCATATCAAGGCATACATATCATATCTGAGTTCAGTTTTTAACGTAACAAACTAAAGGTTCATATTCTGATAAACAGAAAGAGATTAATGAAGACACACAACAAAACCAACATACCTGGAAAAACCTGGAAAAATCAGCCAGCAAGCCTTCAAGCTTAATCTGCTCACTTGTGCTTCAGGATGTGTATTTTATTTACCAACGCCCTAATACCACCAACATATAAAGCTTGAAGCTCCTTAAACTCAAAGGTTGTGTCATTCTTCGGTTACAAGGATCTTCAATAAGTCATCAGCACCTGTAGTCCACCACACAGACAAATGGTAAAGATAACATGCTATGTTTTTTTTCTCTTGTTACCATAAATAAGATTTGATAAAAAGGGGTTACTAGTGTTATATTTGAAATATGTTGGGGCCCAAATTTCAGTTAAATTCTGTGATATGTTGTCTGGTGACAATAGTTGTTTGGAACTAGGTTGCTTTGTATTTCTGCAGATACTGTCACCCTGCCCCAACACCACACAGGTAGTGAAACTTGGTTCCGTTTGGATTTTAGATTTGTCAAGGAAATTGAATTAGTTATGTATATAATTTTTATGGGTAGCTAAACAATAAAAACAAAATTTTGGACAAATATCTACTTGCTTCCATTTTAAAAAAGGAAAAAAAGAAGAAGAATCTTTTTTTACTTCATTATATTTTCTTTGGATAAATTACACTTTGCATCCATGCATTTTGTAGCAAATCTTACTGTGGCCCTTATATATGAAATTATGACAGTCAACCCTCTGTACTTTTAGTCAAATCCTACTTTGGTCCCTGTACATAAAATTGTGGCAGTCAATCTCCTGTACTTTTGCGATCATCTATCCTTGCTGTCTCAAGCCTAGGTCACACCTTTGAACCTCTTACACCTAGGTCGTTGAGCGCCAACACCTAGGACCATCCCGGAACTACCTTGGTTGACCTCCACCGTCACCTAGGCATATTGGCCGAGATGTGCATCACCTAGGCTGAGGTGTGCATCGTCTAGGCCGAGGTGTGTATTATCTAGGCTGAGATATTAATCATCTAGGCGTCCTAGATCCTTGATCCTTGAACCTAGCAACCTTTTATTCCAGGACTGGTATAACCTAAGCTGAGGTGTGGCACATCTAGGCCAAGGTGTGGCACACCTAGGTCAAGTGTTATCCTTCATAGCCGAGATCATTGAAACCTTCTTGTCCGAAGCATATGTCTTGATCCGAGATCCTTGCCTTGTTAGAACGCCCTTGTCACCTCACTTGTTATACACACTTTATCATACTCTTGTCTTGTCATTTTGGCACCTTTTTGAGGAGATCCAATCAGATTATGCCACGTATCCCAGCAGTAGGCTTTAGTCAGTGAGCTATTGAGAAAACATATCATTTGCTATATTTTTTCCCTAGAAGAGAGAGAAGCTCTAGGAAAGAGGAAGAAGGAGTTCTTAGAGTGAGAATAAATTTTCAAGCTTGATCCTTAGAGTTTGAACCGTTTGATTCATGTTTTGAGGTTAGATTCTTGATCTACTCTTGTTGTTCTTTACATTGATATGATCACATTGTCTGAGCTAGCATGATTCATGAGCCATGCATTGATTTAAAGTTTGGTTTTAGAAAGAGAAAATGATATTCTTGTGTTCTTGAAAGAAAACCATGTTTTGATCCGAAAGTTTATACCAAGTCCTATTTTTTGTGTTTATTTTCATGAAATCTTCAAGAATGGGTACCCAGGTCCATGTTTTTGAACTCATAACATGAAATCTCATATTTGGAATAAGAAGTTATGGTTTTTAGCATTCATGTTCTTCAAAAGAAAACCCAGATTTCCAGACTTCATTTGCCTAAGTGTGGTCACTGAGACCCACTCTTGCCTAGATCTCACACTTAGGCCAAGCATCATATCTCACCTTGGCCTACCTTGCATGATCACTTGCACCTTAGTCTATCTTGCATGCACACTTAGGCCGACCACTGCACACTTAGGCCAACCATGGTACACCCTCGCCGGCACCTTGTAACATCTCGGCAGGCAGCCTCGCACCTAGGCCTAGGAGACCACACCTCGACCAAGAGGTGTGGGACCTCAGCCAATACTTCCTGAGTTCATCCATCTAGGCCATTTTGGCCTAGATCATCTCTGTGCATCTATTCCGAGACTTGGTTGGTACCCAACATGTTTTTCTTGGAAGAAAAACAATGTTTTGACTCCCAGCACATGTTTTGCTTTGTCTTGACTTGGTTTTGGAAAGAAATGCCGGGATCATTTTCATTAATGTAAAGCTTGTTTTTGAGACTGCATTGCATAACCATCTTTGAGCATTCTTTCTTGTCTTCTTGAAATGCATTCAGTGGACTTTGCCATGTATTTGTAGGTCTTGGATCCTTGCCTTAATCCCTACATCCGAAGAGCTATGTGAGTGGTATTTTTAATAAAGCTATGTTACAATGTTTTGATAAAAGTCTTGCTTTGTTTCATTTTGGAAAAGTATTTGTTCAAGTATGAATCATTATCCACTAGTTTTTGTATCAAGTATTATGTTTGTTTTAATGACATTCTTGGAAGGTCCTTTCGTGCTAGGGGACGTTAAGCCTATGTAGCACCTTTGTTTGAGATATCTCTTTTGCCACCGACGGTCTTGTACGGGTGGGTTTGTCTAATTGATTTTGGGTCAGCCACCGACGGTTGTGAATGAGTTTGCTTCAATTCCAAGATGATTATTCCCTTGTTTTGCCACCGACGGTTTTTTGGGTGGGCTGTCTAACCGATTCTGGGTCGGCCATCGATGGTCGTGAACGGGTGTGCTTCGATTCTGGGACGGTTATTCCCTTGTTTTGTCCGGAATGTCATTCCTTGGTATTATGTAGATGTTATTAAACATCCAAGAAGCTTTGAAAGACTTTGATTGATGAACTTGATTCATCCCATGTTTTGTTACAAGCTATGATATGTATTGTTTTGATAAAGATCTCGAATATCATTCATTCAAACCTTTATTACTTATATCATTCACTGAGTATCCAAGCTCACCCTCCCCTTTATATATATGTAGGTGATGAGCAAGAAGGCGGTGATGCCTAGATGTTATTTGCAAGTTATTTGGATTCATGTTTTATTAGCATCTTGAAGATTATGCTTCTTAGCTTTGTAGTTCATGTATTTGGTATATGTCGACTTGAGAAGCCTTTTGATCAAGATGTAACAAGTATTCATTTTATTTTTATCCAAGTTGTAAACCATGTTAAAATGTATGTCATTTCATTTAATCTATGCACAGCTCTTATGGACTAATTAGATTTAAATTTATTGCTTCCGCACATGTAGGCCCCATATGTATACTCTGTTGTGTGAATCTTTGTAAGTTGGCCTTTGGTAATCTCGGATTACTGGCCATCATGGCACCATTCTACTAGGGGCGGAATGGAGTCGTGATAGATCCTAACTTCACATCGGCTTGTACCTGAACTCAATGGCACTATACACCGGGAACGAGCCGTTGCTCTACAAGGTGTTCCCCTCATCCTTTGGGGAAATCGCATCAGACTGGTTTCACAAGTTGCCGAAAGGAACTATGAAAAGCTGGGAAGGCCTGGCCGAGATATTCGTGGCCAAGTTTGTGACAAACAAACTACAACCGTTGAGGGTGGACTCCTTGATGGCTTTGAGAATAGGCGAGGATGAAAGCCTCAGGGCTTATGCCAAGAGGTATTATGAGGTATTCAACTGAATACCAGGATGCAACTAAGAAGTGGCGATTGTGTCTTTTAAGAACGGCCTGAACGATAATTGCTGCTTTGAAAATCACTGGCAAAGACATTGCCAAAACGTATGGAGGAATTAATGGTCAGGATAGAGAAGTATGCAAGAGCCGATGAGGACACATTAGGGACAAATGCGTCAAAACAAGAGAAGAGAAACGGTTCGCCGAAGCAAGGCCGAGGTAATAGTGGATACAATAAGCAAGAGACATGACTAAGGGTTGTGCAGGTAGTAACTACCGTATTCCGTATTCCAGTTTACAAAGTCCTGGAGAGGATTAGGAACCAACCATATTATAGAACACCAGAGAAGACTCCTGGCGAATATATGGAAAAAAGTCTGGGGAAGCACTGTGCCTACCACAATGAGGATGGACATCTAACTTAGGGGTACAGAGCCCTAAAAACATATCTGGAAGACCTTATAAGACAAGGTCATTTAAGGGACCTAGTAGATGAGGCCAGGACGAGGGAGGAACAAGCGAGACTGCCTTAGGCTCTAGCAGCACCACCCCCGCCAGCACCATAACCGCAGGTAGGCGGACCTAGATTGATCAATGTGATTCACTCGAAGGTGAATGACAACGAGATACGTGGGGAAACTTAGAAGGTAAAACACTTGCAACATGTGCATCAGGTTCGGCAGAAAAGACCTAGGGCAGACGAGTGTTAGGGACCAATGGTGTCCTTTACTGAAGACGACCTAGAGATGGTGCAGCATCCACACAACGATGCCTGGGTAATATCCCTCCAGATTGGAAAGTGCTAGGTAAAGCGAATTCTAATCAACCAAGGCAGGTCTTGTGACATCATGTACGTCAGGTGTTACAAGGAGCTTGACCTTCACCAAGATGATCTGGAACAATCCAATGGTCCAATGGTTGGGTTCAACGGGAGCAGTAAGTTTGGAGGTGTAGGCTGGTACCAAGAGGGTAAAACCTGAGTTCACAATAATTGACACCCCCTCTCCTTACAATGCTATCTTGGGAAGGCCATGGCTACATGCAATGGGGGCTGTTCCCTCAACATTGCACCAGCTGTTGTGGTTCCCAACAGAACATGGAATTAAGGAGGTCAGAGGGGATCAGGTGCCGGCAAAGAATTTCTCTATGGTAGCAATGAAATCCATCTGCAACATACGAGAAACAGAAGCAGCAGAGATTGAAGATGAGGACATGGAGGTCCTTGAGGACGTCGGCAAAGAGCCAGCTGAGAAAAGTGAGGAAGCCCTGAAGAAGATCTTAGTCCAGCAAGGAGATGAAGAGAGCTTCTTCCTCCTCGGCTCAGGCTTGGCCGAGGAAAAGAAAAAGAAATTAGAAGCATTCTTGAGAGCAAACCTTGAGGTGTTTGCCTGGACATCGTACGAGATGCCTAGCATTGACCCCGAGGTCACTTGCCATAAACTGAATGTGGATAGGTCGGCTAAACCTGTCATCCAGTGAGCAATGAGGCCTACGTTGATGTATGTTGAGGTAGTAGAAGAGGAAGTGGATAAACTTCTGGAGGCCAGAGCCATTCGAGAGGTAAACTACCCAACATGGCTATCAAACACGGTTGTGGTGAAGAAAAAGAATGGGAAGTGGAGGGTCTGCGTGGACTTCACCAGCCTGAACAAGGCTTGTCCCAAAGATAGTTTCGCACTACCCAAGATTGACCAATTAGTGGATGCCACTTCAGGGCATGGAAGGATGAGTTTCCTGGACGCTTACAGGGGGTACCATCAGATAGCCATGTACCCTCCCCCCAATGAGGAGAAGACTGTATTTATCACCCCAAAAGGGCTATATTGCTATAGAGTGTTGCCTTTTGGGTTGAAAAATGTAGGAGCAATTTACCAGAGATTCGTGACTAAAATGTTCAGACATCTAATAGGCAAAACAGTGGAGGTATACATTGATGACATGGTCGTGAAGACCAAGGAACCTGAGGATCATCTGGCTGACCTAAAGACAGTCTTTGATAT